AAAAACTAGAATACTACAAATAGTAAAAGAAAAATCTTGAGGGGGCTCAGGAAAATGCTAATTTTTTTCGCAAACCCCTATTACAAAAATCTTTTGATAAAAAATCATCATTTGGGTCCCATATCATACCTCTATAAGTTTCATCTTGATCCCATACTCTGAAGGTGAAATCTAACATACTGAAAAATCCTGGATACGCCACTATTCATATCGTACTTCTAATGTAAAGAACAAAAAGATTTTTTAAAATAAAATATCTTAAAAAATTCTCATAATTGTTTTGTGCTTCATATTTTTGAATGGAATAAAATTCGTTTTAGAAAATGATTAGCCCGATCTACTCCTATATATATATTCAAATCATTCATAAACATTGGGTTGAAGCAAATGAGTAAATCATTAAATCATATTTTTATTTATTGAAGAGAAAAAAAACGATTTTATAAAGTAAACTTCAAAGCGAAAATAGCTGTCATTCTAATCATCTTCTTATGAAGATATTGATCGCTTTTTAAGTCCAGTAACTTTATTGTAAATTCGATCGCTCACTTCATCACGTGTTGGTAGTTTTGGTAATTTAGGTAATTTTATATTTGGTTTAAGATCATCCAATGTAGGAAGACCATCACCAATTTCATAATTTTTAAATGCATCCCATGTATTTAAATCAGGACAATTACGTTCCGTACCTTTATTACGATAAATTGGATTGCTTGGTTCACATCGTTCTTCACTTTAAAAAATAAATAATTTTTCATATAAATACATTAAATTTGTTAATAAATAATATATCAACACTTACTAATCTTCTTTAGCTTCACGTTTTTGTTCTTCACATTTGGTTAAAGTAGGATGAAAGATTGTTCGTCGAAGAAACTCAAGAGCTTCCGAACGATCTAGAATAGATAAATGAAATGTGAAAGTTTATGAACGAAAACAAATAAGATATTTATATGTATGGTCAATTAAATAATAAATAGAATAATAAAGATGACGAATCGATATATATCATCAAATATGAGATAAGAAACTTATATATGTGTCAAATAAACTGTCATTTGTTATCATTGATACTTTGTTTTTCCACTACTGCTTACTGAAACCACTCTAGTGGTAATGCTTTCAATAATTTTTTCCACATTCATAGTTTTTGATACTTATTTACCGAAGGTATCTAAATTAAAACTAACTCTATCATCAATGCAAACATATGGAACTCATTCCATTTATTTAATATTACGAAAAAATGAATTATTATTAGGGTTACATTAGCATGATATTGATAATTCACAACTATTTTCTATTAATCTTACAATATAAGATTTGATTTATCGTCTAAACGGATATAATATTATAATGTCATAATTTTTTCAAACTTTACGTTTTTTTGTTCTTGACATAGAGTCTTACTTGCATGAAAGACACTACTTTTTAAGAATAAAACAGATCTATTTGATTTTAGGTATTCATATATGATTTCAAATTAGAGTATACACACAGTTACAAACGATGCATTCATATTTCAAAAAAAATACAAAAATACAAGACACAAAACATTTACCTTCTTCGAAACCTCCTTCATTATCAGCTTGCACACAAGTCCAGCTAATAGCCAAAATGCCAATCACAGCCACAATAAGAATTGAAAACTTCTGCATGTTCTAAGCAGAAAAAAAATCATACATATGAATTTTCAAACAGTAAAATTCTTCTGTCTACTTTAGAAACTTCTTATTGCAATTGCTCTTTTATCTATCGAGAAAAGAAATACTATTGACGTATTTGTACTCTTTAATAATGGCTGGAAAAAAAAACAAAAAAAAGAAATTCTAACAAATGATTATTCATATTGACCTAGAAGGGCCAGGAAAGTGTCGATTAATATAAGTGTTGACAAACTTTTATATAATATCCCTTTCAGTATCTATATCATTCATCTTTTGTATTTGATGAATAGTTATCAGCAGATGAAAAAAGATAAATGCTGTAGGATATAGGATATAATTTCTTTTAGGTTAAGAAAAAAAGAAAAAAAAAGATACAGAGACCTTTCCATACATATACTAGTTATTCTCAACAAGACATTATAAGACTCGTCTTCGTATTAATAAAAGAAAAACAAAACAGTATTACAATATATTTGTATTTGTAAGGTTTTCAATATGAAGAAATTCTTGGCTTTTATGATTTGTGCTATATTTATTTTTGCTTTCGTTCATATGGCTCATGCTGATGATGAAAGTGACAGCAACGAATATGGTATAATCATTTTTTTTCATTGATTCGATGTTATATTTTGTTAGTTTTAACTTTGTTTAGCTCCTGATGATGCACAACAATTTTTACAAAAACGTCTTTTTGGTATCCCATTTCCTCGTGAACAACGTCGAGAAGCTAAAGAAAGATATGAAGAACGGTATGTATACGAGAATGTTTGTTTTTTTTCTTTCGAATATTATATATTTTTTATAACTCTATTTAGATGTGAACGTGCTTTGGGTATTAATAAAGTAACTGGTCTTCAACGATGGTGCCCAAAACTTGAAGTAAGACAATAAAAAAAAAAAAAAGAATTTTATTATATAAAATCTGTGAATTTTTTAATTAGGAATGGGATCAATGGCGTACAGCAACAAGAAATGATAAACGCCGTGGCTAAATGAATATCTTTGACAATTATATAGAAACACATTTTATATTGCTTTTCAAAATCAATTTTAAGAAATAAAATTATCTTTGTCTTATTAATCGTGCTTTTTTTTCTTAAATACTTATAATTAAATATTGTGAATTTTATTTTATAAAAACTTCAATTTTATCATTATGTCTTTCAGATTAGACTAGAAAAAAGACGAAACATCATTAAAACAAAAAAGATTAATAATACTTTCAATTATTTAAGAAAAGATGAATTTTCGTTTTGTTCAATTGATATTAAGTTCCAAATGACAAAAAAAAATTGTTTAATATGATTGTCAATAGATTATTGATCACTAGAAAAAGAATCTTCAATCTTAACAATTATATCCTTTATGATAATTATTGTCTCATAATTCTTTTTTTTTTACGAAATAAATGTTTTCTTTTTGTTTTTTTATAAGTACTTGTTTTAATCGTAATAATATAAAAGAAAATACGAGCAAAAAAAAAGAAACAGATATGTGTCGCGCATTAAGTCAGGCTTCTAATAATACAGAAAGCCAAGAAATAAATACAGACGCACATATACATAATATCACGATGAAATAACAACAACAGCCAAACAAAAAGAAAAACAAACGACTAATAAAAAACGATAGATAAAGACTTTTTTTTGTTAATGTCTAAAAGATCAACCAGAAAAGATAAAATAAAAGTAGGGAGGGAAAAAAAAAGAAAGATTGGACTGTTTTATTTTATTCTGTTTGTTTTTCATCATCTATTTCTTTATTTTCATTATCACATGATGGTATTGGTTTTTCTTCAGTTTCAGTCGTTGTTGTTGTTGTTGTTTCTTGTTTTTCTTTATCTTCATTTGTAGTTTCATTTTCAGTTGTTGTTGATGATTTCAATTCATTTGTATTTGTTGCTAGTTTATCTTGAAATAAGAAATAATAATAACAATAATAAACGAAAAATTTTACTTTTATAAAATTTATATTTACCTTCACTTTTTGAATTTTGATTTCGTTGTTTACGTTGTCGTGAATTATGACGTTTTTGTTGTCCTTTATTATTTCTTGGTGATTTTGTTTGTTTACCATTACGTGTTGGTGTTAATGGTTTATTATTATTTCGTGCTTGTTTTGATGAATTATTTACACGATGATCATCATGAATAAAACCATTATCATTACGTCCATAACTAATATGTTAAAGAAAAAATATATATGTATATTGTCAATTTTTTTTTTGTTTTACCGAAATCCACTACGTTGTTGTTGTGAATATAATGATTGTCTTGATCGCGCATATGGACCTTGCCATTCATTGAGATCATAGGATGGTACTATATCAAATGGAATGTAACCATCATCTTGATACATCATACGACGATGTGAACGAATTGGAACTTGTCTTTGTCGAGACATTGGACCATATGAATATGAATCATAATAATCATTTAAACGTTCCTAGAAGAAAACATAAATAAGATTTTTTCTTTTTCTTTAAATCAATCAATGAAAAACAAAATAATTCTTCTATAATTACACGTGGTCCTTGATAAGCAGTAGTTCGACCAAAAGTTCGATTCGGTCGTCGATATGTCATTGATTCAGGCCATACATCATCATCTTCTATATCTTCCCATTGATTATCATAATAACCTTGTTGCCGTTGTGAACGTCGAGGAGCAACTGAACGACGAGGACGATTATTATTGTTATTATTTAATGAACGTGGTTGTTGTTGTTGAAGACTATTTGTTGATATTTGTTTAGGTTCAAAACGTTTTGGTAAAATAGCATAAGGAATATGTGGTTGTGCAGCCATTTGATCAACAACAGTTATTTGTTGTTGTGCACCACCAGAACGTGTACGACGTCGACGATTTGAATTATTTGTTGGACGATAATTTGGTGAACAAGGTATATCATTCCAACCAGACATAAGTTGTTGTTGTTGTTGTTGTTGATTAAACGGACGACGATAATTACGATTACCTTGTAATTGTCGTTGAGATGTTTGCTAATAGAAAAGAAAATAATAATAATAAAATTGTTTTTTTTTTCTTTTTGAAGATATATATATATATATATATATATAATCAAAATAAATGTTTACTTGTTGATTATTATCTAATCCATTACCACGAATAATTGATAAAATAGCTGAATCTGGTTCAATTGTATCACCATTAGATGTTGATGGTCGTGATTTTGAACGAATTGTTACACGTTCCATTTGTGTTGTATATGATTGTCGATAATTATTATGTTGTCTTGATATGCCATTACTTGCTGATAATGATGTTTTACCCATAAATGTAGCAAGAAATGCATCATTTGTTAATGGAGCCAAATCTCGTGGATTAAGTCCTGTATTTGAAACAGCTTGAGTGCCAACATTTACCATTATGCGAGGTCCAAGAGTATCCATTAAAATTCAAAAAAAAAATTTTCAACTTGTTACGTACTACTTTAGTGATGAAATGATATAAATATACTTTTTCTTTTTCTTGTTTTTATTTGTGAATGCGTGTGATACGTATATGCTCGATCTGACAAATGAACGATGGAAATAACGATCGAAAGAGACTGAAATAGATAGAAAGAGAGATAAAGATGATAATAAACGAATGTTTTGTCTATTTTTGTTTTCGAACCTCTACGTCGAACTAGACAATGAATATATAATAAGATATTTTACTGCACGTGGCCTCGATATGGACAAAGTTATAGTAGTATGTCGAGGTCCGATTATGATATGGTTAACATTAATAGACAATTGTAAAGAATAAATCATTTTTGAATACGAGAAAATTTTATATTAGAATTTTTTATTGACTGAAAAATTCTTCTTATTTCAAGATAATTATATAAATTACAAAAGTTAATAATTAGATTAAATCAAATAATAGTTTAATCTTTTATTTAATTACAATATTATTCAAGTAAATTAAGTTAATAAAAAGAAAGAAAAAAACACAATTCTTTATTTTCACTCTTTTCATTAACAACAAAAAGAAAACATAAATTGTTTTGATATTTTTGCAAGAGACAAAAGGCAATGTATTTCTTTAAAGTAACTATAAATATACATCCGTGATATTACA